TCTAGATCTAAATCGAGACCTCTTACGGGAAGAGCGTGCTTCAATGCGGTGAAGTTGGGCATTTCAAGGTTGACTGCCTAACAAGAGAGTAGGTTGGGAAAAAGAACAACAACAAGACCGAGAGAAGAGAAGGGCAAGAAGAGGCGAGTTACGCATCGGAGGAAGGGAGCGATAAAGAATGCTATGTTGTTACGGGTGGCGAAGATACCTCCGGTATAGTGGATACTTGATTCGGGTTGCTCTTACCACATGTGCCCAAATAGGAAGTGGTTTACTACCTATAGGAGCATTGTGGTGGAACTGTATTACTGGGGAATAACCATGCTTGTAAAACGGTGGGGCTCGTGATATAAAAATCAGATGCATGATGGAGTGGTCAGAACCCTAACGGAGTGCGGCACGTTTCCCGACTTGCGGAAGAATCTTATCTCAGTGGGTGCATTAGACTCACGGTGGCTGCAAGATTGTTACAAGAACGGAGTAAAGAAGGTTGTTCGAGTCGCCTAACAGTGATGGAAGGGTGTTCGTCACGGTAATCTATATACTCTATCTCGGGTTCCGTACGAGCGGTGACAGGAGATGGCCAGCGGTTGGAACTGGGATGGAAAGTGGTGGAGAGACCATGTGAGCACACGGCCGGTTATGGCTAGGCGGCTTTTGGGCAATTGTCAGTGCAAGGGTCTGGTTCTGTCTTGGTAAAGGAGGGTTTGCTGAAGAATCTGAAGAAACCTTGCAATGGGATTTTTTGGCGGATTGTCGTTGTACGGAAAGAGCGCACAGGGTCAATCTCTTTGAAAAGCAATTCACAAGAGGCAGAGGTACTACTAGATTCGCTGTGCACACGCTCGGATGTTTGGGGTACGGCTCAGACAACTTCCAAGCGGTGGTGGTTCCCCGGTTTTTGTCTCGTTCATTAGATGTCATCGAGGGAATATGCTTGGATTTATTTTCTTAAGGCATAAGAATGAGGTATCGAGACATTCAGAGATGGAAAGCAATGGTTTAGAGACACAGGAGCACGGGCAAGAAATTGAAGACACTAAGCATCTGACAAGGTACAGAGTATACAGTCGGTGGCTTCAAGGAAGTTCTGTGATCAGGAGGGCATTGTTCTAACTGGACAAGTCAGGTCCCACACCGACAGCAGAACGGGGGTCGCGGAGAGACTGAACCAGAACATTGCGGGAGAGAGAGGCAATGAGTATGGGTGCTTTATGCTGGATTGGGCAACGATGGTGGGGCCATGAAGCGGTGGCTGGCAGTCATGTTATATTGTGAACGGTTCTCCATCGCATTCGAGATGGCGGTGTATACACCATATAGCGGTGTGGTCAGGGGAACTGCGGATTATGAGAGGCTCAGAATTTTCGGATGTACCCCGCTATTAATCAAACGTCAACGAGGGAAAGCTTGAGCGGCGATCGGGCTAAGGAAGGCGATATTCTTAGGGTATGCGAAGGGCGTAAAAGGCTATCGCGCCTTTGGTGTACAGAAGATTCGAAGTTCGTGATAAAGCAGGGACGTTACCGTTTGATGAGAAGTCCATGATTGCTAGGGTGCCCAAAGATGGTGGTGTTGAGACTGTTGGGACTTCCAAGTCCCAGGTTATTGAGATAGAACCTAAAGACCAACCAGGTTCTAGTCATGTTCAAGTGGAAAATCAGGTAGATGATGAGCTTGAGCAAGAGGAGGTTCAGTAGGAGAATACACAGGCACTACAACAACAGCAGCTCGAGGATACTTTGGCTTCCACTAGGCCAAAGCGAGCATACAAGCAGGTACAGAAGCTGGGGGCTGATCAACCCCTGAAGCACTATGGGCAGGTTAATTTGGTTGAATACGCACTCTCGATGGAGGAAGATGAGCCGTTATCCTTCAAGGAAGCTATTCGGGATAAAGATAGTGAGAGTTGGTTGGCTGCGATGGAGGAGGAGATGGAATCTCTTCGGAAGAACCAAACATGGGAGGTGGTCCCATTGCCCGTAGGAAGAAAAGCTATTGGTTGTAAGTGGGTGTATAAGAGAAAGGAAGATTCTTCAGAGCTCGGTGGTACAAGGTACAAGGCGAGGCTAGTGGCTAAAGGGTTTGCACAAAGAGAGGGTGTGGATTACAATGAGATATTTTCTCCGGTGGTGAAACACACTTCTATTCGGGTGCTATTGAGTATTGTTGCTCATGGTGATCTTGAGCTGGAACAACTCGACGTCAAAACGGTCTTCTTGCACGGAGACTTGGATGAAGAGATCTACATGCATCAACCTGAGGGTTACAAGGTTGAGGATAAGGAGCATCATGTATGTCGCTTGAGGAAGTCACTCTATGGACTAAAGCAATCTCCTCGGCAGTGGTACAAGCGATTTGACTCCTTCATGCTAAAGCATGGGTTTTCCCGAAGCGATTACGATTGTTGTGTTTACATTCAGAAGCTTCGTGGAGGTGATTATATCTATCTCCTTTTGTATGTGGATGACATGCTTATTGCTTCTAAGAGCGGGGTGGAGATAGATAGGCTGAAATCTCAACTTGGTAAAGAGTTCGAGATGAAGGACATGGGCGCTGCTAGGAAGATACTGGGTATGGAGATTAGAAGAGAGCGGGCGAATCGGCGATTGTTCTTGAGTCAGAAGGGCTATATAGAGCGGGTGATCGCGAGGTTCGGGATGCAAAGTGCTAAGTCGGTGGCGACTCCATTGGCTCCACACTTCAGGCTTTCAGGTAAACAATCTCCCACTACAGCGGAAGATAAGGCACACATGGAGCGTGTTCCTTATGCTAGTGCAGTTGGTAGTTTGATGTACGCCATGGTGTGTACACGTCCAGATATTTCACAAGCGGTTAGTGTGGTCAGCAGGTTCATGGCGAATCCGGGAAAGGCGCACTGGGAAGCGGTGAAATGGGTCCTGAGGTACTTGAAAGGTACCGCGGATACGGGTCTGTGTTTTGGTGGAGATACATGTCAGATTGACGGGTTTGTTGACTCTGATTATGCGGGTGATCTAGATAAACGGCGATCTACTACTGGTTATGTATTCAGGATAACTGGTTATGTGTCCAGAATACATGGTGCTTCAGATAGTTGGCGATCGATGTTACAGGCTACAGTGACACTTTCTACAACAGAGACAGAGTATATGGTCATGACAGAGGGAGTGAAGGAAGCATTGTAGTTGTATGGTCTTCTAGATGATTTGGGGATTGAGCAGGAGAACGTGAACTTGTGGTGCGACAGTCAAAGTGCGATTCACTTGGCGAAGAACCAAGTTCATCATGCTCGTACCAAGCATATCGATGTCAGGTATCATTTCGTGCGGGATGTCATAGAGGAAGGTGATATTTCTCTCATGAAGGTGCACACGAATGAGAATCCCGCAGACATGTTAACCAAGGTGGTCACAGGTAGCAAGTTTAAGCATTGCTTGGACTTGCTTCATATCAGCCCGTGTTGATTTGCCCAAGAGGGCATGGCCCTTCGGGGCAGTGATGGGGTGAGGTGGAGACTATATGGAGAACAATTATAGAACTACGGTTAGCTTGATCCCGGTGGAGGGTACGTAGGCAGCCGTGGTAAAGTGGCGCAGCTGGTTTTGGTCTGGTGATGTTCGCGGTGTTCTTCTGGTGTTCGTTCAAAATTTGAGGTTTATCAAATTATGTACGAGGTGGAGAATTGTGAACGCGGTTGCAGGCGCGTGAATGGATAAGAGCCTGGAAAATCAAAACACGTGAATGGGTAAGGTTCACCCATGTCCAGGTTGTCCCCTCTTCCTATAAATAGAATAGCTTCTAGGTTTTTTGATGAGTTGGGAAAAGCTACGAAAAAGGCAGCAAGGGGAAAATTTCTTTAGGCGGCTGCTGTGGGGAAAATCGCAGAGGCAAAGTGCGGGAACAGTGGCTTATTAGAGAAAAGACTGCGGGAAAGAAAAGCAGAGAGGTGGACTTTCGGCTGCAGGGTAAAACAGAGGGTTCTTTTAGAAGATAAAAGGAGAGAGGTTTTGAGAGATTTACAAAAGGAGGTTAATTTCTTTTGGGTAAAAATCAGATCTTTTTTTCTTTCAGACGAGCTTGTGGATTGTACAAGTCGTCGGTGTTCTTCTCATAGTGGAATCTCCCCTCACCCCTCCCGTGGACGTAGGCAAGTTTGCCGAACCACGTAAATCTCGGGTATTTATTGTTTTTTCTGGGTTGTTGGCTATTGCTTGTAGGATCCCTCAAAATTCGGTCTTGCGCTGATGAGAGGAAGAGTGGATATCTCACTTCGCTGAGATATTTCGCTACTGAGTCTGGGTTTCCTTCGCGAAACATAGATATCGAGGTTGACTTGTGCTTTTGTGACAACAAAAGCCAGGGCTCTCTCTCAGGACATATCGCTTCCGCGGCGGTGGGCGTGACTCTGCGCCCAACAGTGAGGAAATAAGGTAAATGTGAGCTTTTGTGGGGTCCAATATCACCTTTACCATCTTTACCCTGTTAGGTTCATTTGAAAAAAAAGAAGCACATTTTGTTGAGTTGGCACTCAAAACCATCTCTTCCTAGCAAAGTGAAAGGAATGGCGTGGAAAGCATGTGCTTGTCAGGCTGTGGTGGATGACCCAATTCTAAATATTGTCATAACTGCTCTTTATTATCAAAAACATCCAAACATCCCCAAACATATAGTTATTGAAAATTGAGGTATTTACATCCAAATAACCCAAATTTTTTCTCTAGAGGGTAAATTTTTCTGGGTTAATTCCACTTAACGCCTTTAAATTTTGGAGAGTTTTGCATATAATACTCCTAAACTTTGGTTATCTCACATACTTCGAACCTTGAGGTGTCCCACAAAAACTATATTGAACTTTGAATTTTTATCACCAGATCTCCTTTCTTGAATTTTACAAGCAATACACCCCTCTCTTGAATTTTAAATTTTTTTTCACTCAATGAGATTTTACTTATTTACAAATTACATGTTAGTAAGTTTATATGGGCTTTGTGAGGCACTCCGAAGTTCAACAAGATTTTATGTGAAACACCGCCTATAATTTAGGCGGGTTATGTGAAATTAACCAAATTGTTTAGGCATAAAATATTAACGTTCAAAAACACTGAACACCTGCACCAAGAAAAGGATAAGGCAATATTGGCATCCAGAGCTGAAAAAGCTAGCAATGGGAAGAGGAGGAGCAGGAACAGTGGTAATAGCAGAAAATATTCCTCTGCTCAGAAATCATCAAAAAGAATCAGATGGCGATCACATCAAGAGAACTGGTGAGCACCTTATTTTCTCAAAATTTGTTGATTAATGGCTATTTGAGTTCTTAATTGGTTTTTTTCTACAAGAGTTCTAGACTTGAATGTCCACATGCAATCAAACCCATGTTATGTCCTAAGTAGTTGCATACGGTTTTCACAAGAGAAAGTGTAACAGTTTTTCAGAAAATATTAATTTTTACAACTATATTCTTAATTCTTCAAATACAAGGCCTCTTAGGGAAATTATGTCACTTTGTGATTTATAAGGGTTTTTCCTCCTCTTTATGCCCTCTAAATATACTTTTACATTCAAGCTATAAGCTTTTATTAAGATTTGTTATGAAATATTCTCTCCCCAGTAAGAAAGTTATTCAATTCATTCAAAAATTTCGTTATTTAGTTGATAGTCAAAGCTACCTAAAAATAAGAATATGGATGAAGTACATAGATCATTTAAAGTTATTTCACTGTTGTGTCCAATATGCAGATGAGTAATGCGAGAGACATTTGCAAGTTCTTAAATTATATTTGAGAGCGTAAGTAGCAAAAACACCATTTTGGAATTATTTGACAAAATATCAAGGGTCATTGCAGATACATCCCCTGTATGTTGTCGTAGCAATTTATAACCCCGAAAATATTTTATTAGTGCTTACGCTCTTTGAATTTTAGATGATATTACTATTTTTGCCCTCTATTTAGAGGGCAATTTAGTTTCTTTTCTAGTTAAATTCAAGAATAAAAGATAATTTATCATCATGTGATACTTCACCCTTCTTTGGATATGATTTTGTTTAGGGTTCATGGAAACAAAATCCAGTGAACCCTCTATAAGAAATCTTCGAAACAAGCATATCACAACAAATGTCCCAGCACATATTTTATAGTTGGCGATAGTATTGACACAATAGTTTGACTTGACTGATACTATATCGGTGACTATACTGATACGTTATACTGATTGCACTAACAATGATTGTACTAATAATGTATACAGATGCACTGAGTTAGAATAGTTAGGGAGGAACATGCATATATGAAACATGCATATATGATTTTCTATAGGGAGCTCTCTACAACATATTTCTCCCGAGTTCGGAGGATGTATGCGCTAAGGATATTATATAGGGGACATAAATAGCTACACAATAGCACAAATGTATATGCAATTAAACCCAAATGATATCAGGCCAAAATAACGAAACCTCACTTATTTGTTGCTTATTTCTTTTGGCAGGAACTGTGAATACTGCCGTTGCTCACATTATAACCGCAGTGATAGGATCAGGAGTTCTATCATTAGCTTGGAGTGTTGCTCAATTAGGTTGGATTGCAGGTCCTACTGCTATTCTCTTCTTTGCAGCAGTCACTTTAGTCAATACCAGATTGCTTGCTGACTGTTACAGATCTCCTGATCCTGAGTATGGCCATATCAGGAATTTATCATATATGAGCGCCGTGAAACAAACTTTAGGTGAGAAATTTTAAAGCTGTTATTTACCTATATTTCTTTTGTTTTGCTTTTTGAATGCCGCTGATTTTCGTGATCCCCCCCCCCCTAAATGTTTAGGACACAAAGTGGGATGTTATGTAAAACATTGTTATGATAAATAATTGTTTGACAAACTACACAAAAATGGGGCAGGACCAGACCTAGGCCAGTTTTGTGCTAAACCAGTTTTCTTTTGGACCAAGACCAAGGAGCCCCTTGGTCCAAAAGAAAACTGATTTAGAGGTGATATTTTGACCAATGAAAACAGGGTTTAATCTGGCACTCTTGTTTGCTAAAAAAAATCAGCAAACAATCTTTCAAAACTAGGCTAGGTTTGAACCTTAACCACTTTTGAAAGATTGCCAAACAGTCCCGAGAGTAATGTTTAAGGTGGTTTACTTAATAGCGCAATGCCGTGACCATCTTATCCATCCAATTTTCTTTAATTTAGACTTATTGAACGAGCTTTTGAAAAGCACAATTGTCTTTAGGTGTATCTGAAAATATCACTGAATGAATCATATCTAAGATGTACAACCAAGGTAAGCATCAATCATTAGCCACCGTTAGCGTAAAGTTGTTACTTAAGCAACTTGCCTGGATTTCGGTGGAGAAGAGTTGCTTACTGACTTAGCTTGATTGCGATGGTTTAGTGAGGTCCGATTTGAATAATTGAGCTAACTCAGTCAAAGTGTCCACCTCTTTGCACATCAATTGTGATGCATGAAATGCCAATTGCAAATGTTTTACGCATTCATGATGCATATATTTTTGGTTTGATTGGTTTTTGTTTTATATTGTTGACAGAAATATAACCATTCAATAACTTATTTCTTATATATTTTTTTTCTCTCCTAATGTTTGTAGGTGAGAAGAGTCTGTGGTTTTGTGCATTCTTCCAGCATACCGGCTT